TTATTTATTTATTACACTTAAATCCAATGACCCCTGGAAAAAAATTCAATTCCAAGAAAATGAAATGCCCCCAAAAAGTAACATTTAATGATTTGGTTGCAAGTGAATTTTAAGACGCAAAAAGAAATATAAAAAGGGCATAAAAACAAACCGCAATGCAGGAACTAAAAAATTCAAGACAAAAACTCTGAAACTAAATTAAGACTGGAGGAAAATATATATTCATGCACACTGTAAAAAGGCTGCAGCCATCTTCACAGGTTTGGCTTGCTCCAGCGCCCCCCTACTGCCCCCTTCTGCTCCAACGCCCCCACGCCGCCCCTTTTCGTTCTACTGCCCCCCTGAAAAATGAAATCACCCCCTGGGGGCATTATCACCCACGTTAAGAACCACTGTTGTAAAGGAGGTTCATCCGCTTGTTGTTGTTGGGCTGGTATCGAGGTTTGTTTCGTTATCGTGTTTTAGATGAGGCCGGACAGTTTTTTGTTTTGTTGATTTATGTCTCCATACCGAGGCAGATGAGATGGAGTCATCTGATATTGATCGGGACCGGCAATTATCATAGTACCGTGATCTGTATCTAGGTGATATCTGTTTCTCTGTTTCTGATATGGATGATTCGGAATAGTCTGAATCATAATAAAGTTGGTGAAAGTGTCCCTGGATGAAATTGAGCTCAGTAGAAGGGTTCCAATATGCTCGATAACGAGAGCTTTCATAGGCTGGGTCATCATATTCTGAAGGCTCATATAGCCTGACCCTCTTAGATCGCCTATGTCTTCTGTACCACTCTTGGGGCGTGAAAGACCTAGGTGGAGTAACGGGCCTCACAGTAGTGATTGTCTCACCATGGTATTGTCGATGAGACGTTTGATGTTCTTTCCTCAACCTCTTGCGGGGAAGAGAAACATTGGGTGCCTGATAATGATGGTTGGATTCATAAGCCGACACTGATCACACTGCCGATACAGGACTGGAGTGCAGTGAAGTTGGGATTACTATAACATCCGCAGTATTAACCAGCGTTGTTGGAGATACAGCAAGGATAGGTGACTCAAGTTGACCCGGTGGTATCAGACTGTCCTATGGAGACTCAATTGTCACTGTGGGTTGGTCTTGTAATGGAGGTTGTTGTGAAGGTGGTTTTTGCAGAAGGGTATCATCTTCTTTCTTTCATTTTTTAGTCTTAAGTGTATGATATGGAAGGGGACTTTGGGATCGGTGTCGTCTGAATTCATTAGTTTCTATTTTGATTTTTTGCTAGTTTTAGAGGATGATTTTGCGGATGAAGAAACTGTTGCTAATACTGGGGACTGTCTGGGAGGTTGCGCTGTATGAGGCACATCCATTGTCTAAGGTTTAAGACATTTTTCCCAGAGAAAGGACTTGAGTTTTTGTTCTCTTAATTTTAGTGCTTGTTTTGTAAGATTTTTACAGAATTGGCAAGATTATTTTGGTGGGCTTCCCCCAAACAGAAAAGGCAGATGTTATGGCAGTATGTAAGGGGAATTTTATTCAAGCATGACGTGAACTTTTTGAAGGGGGGAGGGGTGCCATAAATGGCAGGAGAAAGGGGGGGGAAGTCCAAATAGTGTACTTATCTAGCATTGTTATAAGTGCTGATTAGAAGAGTTTGAAGACTGAGAAAAAAGGGTCCTAATATTCCTTTTTTATAGAAAAATAGGACAATTCTCCTCAGTCAGCTCGACTAAGAGACCTCATGCGGCGACGGCAAAAAAGGAACTGACGTAACTGTGAGGGTAGGCGGACCTTGTGGGCGGGGGGGTGACCCTTCAGGAACGTAGCATAAAGCTTTAGAATATTCCGGAGACCTCTGCGTAGGCGCAGATGAAACCCATTAGTGTGCATTCACAGAGACCACGAAGAACAATATTTTTTTAAACTTGACTGCCCTGAATACGTTTACCATGCCTGTTGTAATACAGAGAGTCCACAGCTTTGAGAGATTTTCCCCAAGATTTTTTTCTTCAATACCAAGTTGATACTTCAGAACAAAAGTGTATCTCTGCATCCTGATCAAACTGGAGTGTCAAATCAATGTCAAAAGGAATTAATCACATTTAGGAGAAATAAAGTATGAAAGCCTCACTGAGTATGAGCCAGGGAAGACCTACTTCTGAGAATAAGGTCTATGGCACTCCTGATGCCGACTTCTCAGTGCCACTGCCTTAGTGCTCCTCCTGTCTCCTCTTGCTGCAATGTCAAAAGTGTAGTAGTGTGTAGTGTGACACTGAGGTCACCTCATTGAGGTAAACTTTCTTCAGTCAGTTATCTGTAGACGCTATCTAATGTTGCCATAATGACCATTTCAGAGCTACACTTGCAAATTGATGCAGAAGAAGGGTGCAACAGTATATTTTATGCAGCCAAATATGCACTGTGGAATTGTTTCTTCCAAAGATGAAACATTGTGTCTTGATTCCCTACTTCTAAGTCCCACCACAGTGAATCTTTCACAAATACTGCACTGCTACATTAAATGTCCCTCTCTGAGGCAGAACAAAAACTTTTTGTTCATACGAGGGGGTGATTTCTCTCTCATGGGTCAAACACTTTAAAGGGCAACAAGGGCCATAAAAGGAAACAGGTTTTTCAATTTTTTTATTCATACAAATTACAAAACAATAAAGAAGATAAAGCTATTTGAGTTGTAGAAAGACACTCAATAATACACCTTCTCCTACTTTTTGAATAATGGACAAAAAACAACCAAGGAAAGGCTATAAGGGTGGATTCACCACAAAAGTAATTAAGTGGCGCCTCGTGGCACAGTGGTTAAAACGCTGTACTGCAGCTAAAACTGTGCTCACGACCTGGGGTTCAAATCCCAGGTAGCCGGCTCAAGGCTGACTCAGCCTTCCATCCTTCCGAGGTCGGTAAAATGAGTACCCAGCTTGCTGGGGGGGGGGCGCAATGTGTAGCCTGTATAATTAAAAATTGTAAACCGCCCGGAGAGTGCTTGTAGCTCTATGGGGCGGTATACAAGTCCAATAAATAAATAAATAAATAAATAAGTTCTAGAATTTCTGAAAGAGGCTCTGCACAGGCAGAAGACCCGTATGGTGACTCACAGGATAGAGAGATACCTACAAGAGGAAGAGTCCTATCCAAACAACTAGATAGTATTTTCTATTTTTTAAAATATTCACACCCCTCCTATTCCGTTCTTTTAGAACCACACAGTTGTTAGTTCTCCCTCCTCAGTTTCCCTACCATTCTGTGCCACTGAGTTAATATGGGCTGTTCTGAGGTTCCTCTACTTTGGATTCTTTCCTGAAAAAGAACAGCTACTGAGCAACAGCTACTTCCAAATGCAGTGTGCTTTGGAATGTGCATTAACAATGCATAGAGTTTATATGTTTTTAAACCTTAAGCGAGAGCTCACAGCAGTAGCTTTTCTCTTCACTGCTTGCTACCTTTTGAATGGTCCTGTGTTTGTACAAAGGGGGCAGGGACTGTTTCCTGTTGAAAAAACATTCCTCTCACTATTGATACCTGTATATTAAACTATTTCTAACCCACTCTTCCTCATTACTGGTGCACTAGGGTACACTCAATAATACTGACACATTAACCACTATTGACAGATTGGCATACTGACTAAGGATATTTTGGGCACAATCCTGTTCATGTGAGTATAACATAAAGTTATGTTGGTGTAAATGTGCCAGATGATATGCTTGGCAACAAGGAATTACACTATGTACTTGTGCTATTTTTCATCCCTGGCACAACTGATTGTGCAATGAACTAGCAAAAGGGTTTCAGAGACTGCACTTGCACCTGGGCACTAGTGCAATTACAAGGGATGCAACCTTCAGTTGCAAGCATGTAGCTACGCAAGAAGATTTTGGCCAGTGTAAAACAGAAGTTCAGATGTTAGGTATACCACATTTCATTTTAGAGAAGTATAAAACGTAGAGTTACTTACAAGCTTTCCTCAAACACTTTCACCTTCTCACAGCCCTCAGGAGGTTCACGTTTGAACATATAGCTGTTATTAGGTTTTGGTGAGGTGGCATATTTGGGCAAAGGTGAATTGTTTCCATTTTCTGTAATAAAAATATCTGTTTTTTAACCATAACTAAAATATTTATCACATCTCTTACCACTTTCTCCCATTCCTCCTCGCCCCTCTACACTTAATCTGGCTAAAAGGTTTAATGCAAATTTATTCCTCAAGTAAAAACATTCTCTTCCTGGTATTCCTATAACACTTCTACTACAAAACACAAGGTAAATAAAAAAGTAATTAGTCCTTAGTCCTGTTCCTTTTCCCCAAAAAGTAACCATGAGTTATTTTTGACTGCTTCAAAAAATTAATACTGTATTTTTCATTCAGCAAAACAACAGAAGAGCATGAATCAGCATTTGACACATGTAGTACTCCTACACCTCATTTAATGAAGTCACACACCTAAACGATGAAGGCAAGTCACCATTAAACTGCAAAATGGGAGATCCCTTATTTACAATAATAATTAAATGTACTTCCAACAAAATTATTACAGAATGAGCTTAACAGCAAGTAACTAGTTATACGTAACTACTACAAACTCTGGTACAAATTCTCCATGTCTGACAGAGAAATATTCTTTTTTAACATAGGGGGAATTAGCATGCAACTAGACTGCACGAAGAATACACTTGGACCTGCCGAGACCCACATTTTTTCAAATCAAACTTCCACAGGTAACATTGCTGGAGCCATCCAGACATCAAATACTTTGGAGGAATCCACAGGGGCAGAGAAAGACAGCTGTCTTTGTACAGCAGAAAATGACTTTGACAAGGTGCTAATTATCAAATTCCACCTCTTTTTAAAATTTACTTTTCCTGAAGTAACATAGGAAAATGGTGTTCTAGCTTCCAAAAACAAATAAAAAACAAACAAGCACTTCATTCACGGGAACTACCCCTATCGACAAAAGATCTTAATTGTGCAAGGTAAGTAGTTTCCTTTAGCTCTAAAAGTGAGTGTGAGAGCAAGAGTTCTGCCCCCTTTGCTTTCAGATCAGGAGATCACACTGGGAAGAAAGCAGACAAAAGCAAAGTCAAACCTATCAGAGCATATTGAAACCATCCCTGCTGGCTAAACAAATAAACAAATAAACACAAAATACAATTCCCCACTTAAAAGAGATGATTTCACAATGGGCTTCCCTATATTGAGTTTTATATCATGTAGTTAGTGTGTCTCAAATTCATCTATGCCTAATCCGTTACAAACTGCTAAATAAACGGCCAGTGTGATTGCCCTCTTATTATACCTACCGTATTTTTCGCTCCATAAGACGCACCGGACGTTAAGACGCACTTAATTTTTAAATACCAAAAATTAAAATAAAATAAAAATATATAAACAGAGCAAGTCCCACACTGGGACTGCCAAAAAAATCACCAAAAAACAAAGCAACATAGAAACATGCCCCCCAGCCCAAATCTACCCTCAAAAACCCACCCAGAACATTTTTTAAAAAGTAAAAAGCAGCAACTAAATTTTAAATACCAAAAAATAAAGTAAAAATAAATCCTTGTACAATCAAGATCTTTTTTCGATATACAATTTAACGGCTAAAATCTTGTTGTTATGCATGAGTAAAACAAACTGTGTAACATTCAGTCACCTCTAGCTGCTATTAGCAAATCCCTGATAGAATTCTAAGCACCCGCCCAGCTAACAGGTGTGTCACACACCCAAGAATCCCAGCATAACTTATTAACTGCCAGCTAGAAATGGCAGAATATTATGCCATTTGCCTTTCACATGCATTTTAAAGCAACATGATTTCAACCAATGTCTTAATTGCAACAATTCAACAGAAACATAAGGCAGATGTATAATGAATACAATACAGGGGTAAAGCAACAAGCTAGCGAGCAACTGTAATGCTTGATAAAAATAAGAGGAAGCAATGGCTAAAATATCAGCTTCTTTTAAAGCTGCAGCAATGAAAAAGAAGTGTTTTTAATTGAATTCTGGGTAATACCACCTCCCAAGAAAGATACTTAAGTAAAGCTTTAGTTATTTTTCCTGAAAACAGGGCATTCATAGCAGTAGCTCTCAACCTGTGGTACACGTTCCACTAGTTGGAAACAAAATTAGGTGAGACACAGGATTGTTAAAACATTTGCTACGCATTCACACTTTCTCAATCCCCATATTCTCCTATAAGAGTGGCATGCCATCTGCTATCAAATCTTCGAGGCATGGATTATGTTTTCACCTCTTAATAGCATCTTTGGACACTTACTGTTCCCCATAATCTCTTGTTCCCCTGCACACCAATTTACCATACATGATAAATAGATTAACAAAATGCCTGGAAACGTACAAATGTCCTTCTTGGGAAAAGTGGGCTTTTTAAGACAATCATAATGGGACTGAGCTTCTTTGACAGAATGACTGTTGGGATGTAAGGCTGAGAAACACGTCCACATCATGTGACATGAACAGTTCTGTACCTTAAAAACAATTTTGCAATAAGGAACAAAGGTGGAAATCTCTGGGTAAATACTTTGCATGAAACTAAATAGCCCTTGAATTCTGGCCCACAGATCAAATATCTATGCAACACAAAAGGTTTCATGGCCCAAGACTGCCCTCAAGTTCGTAAGGTAAGAAAAGCATTAAAATGAGTACCCTTCAAGGAGTACCTTTATCTCTGGGCTCCCCAAGCAAGTCATCAGCAGAGCATGGGCTCTCTTCGTTGATCTCATTGGTGATGGCAAGGAAGGAGCTAGGGGACACAGACTGAGACCTGCTGCTGTTGTTACTGCCTTTCTCTGCTCCACCTGGAGTTTGCGTGTCAATGCTGCGAGTACTGCTGCTGCGTTGCACCAGAGGAGGTGGAGCTCGATGCCCATCTGGAATATCTTGTGGCTGTGGAGCAAAAACATATTATGTCCTTTTTAGCACAAGGCAGATGATTAATCTTGTCTGGATAAGAATTACGTTACATGTTAATAGACTACTTGTATCAATAAAGCTCTTTAGCAAAAGATTAGTTGCCCATCAGACTACAACAAAAAAGAAAAAGATAAAGACAAACCTAAGGAGATTTGGAGTCTGGGGAAGCACACCAAGGAAGAGGAAATACTATATATGTATGTGTGTGTGTGCACACTTGCGCTTAAGCGGATTTAAGAAGGATGATCATGTATAAAAAGCAACTAAAATGCCCAAAGCAGGCTTCCTAATGAGTGACCTCCTCCATGATGTCTGCTTTCCTCTTCCTTTAAAAGGAATTGGATCTTAAAACATTTATACATATATCTGGTCTTGGAAAAATATAATGCACAGCTAGTTGGAGACCTCCAAACAAAATGAGGCTGGTTCAGAGCAATGCTTCTAATTTAACAAATTATGGTTTATTAAGCAGCAAATAACACCAAGCTTGCACACTCCCCTCTTACCATCTCATCATTCATGCCCCTACACCACTCTTGATTTAAATGGAATCACAATTCCCTATTATTTCTAAATTGAGAACTCTGATCTATTATCAGTTTATGAACTAGAATGTTAAACCCATTTGATCCTCCCTTTTGGGCAAGAAGAACAAATGTTTCAAAGAGACCAAGACTGAAGCACAAAAGCAGGCACAGAACAGTACAAGGAACAAAAGAGAAATATGTGGGTCCAAAGATGCCCATTCCTGGCTTCTTCAATAGCTGTTTAAGAAATCAGAATTATTATATAGAAATAAACCCTATAATTGCTAACCTTTCAAATAAAACTGTGTTCAAATACTGCTATAAGATAAGGTTACTTACTTGTAACCATAGTTCGAGTGGTCCTCTGTAAATTCACACATATGGGTTTTGTCTGCGCCTGCGCTGACGATCTCGGAAGATTCTAGAGCTGAAAGTAACAATTTAGTGGTGTGATTCCCCCATGAGGCATATGCTCCGCCCACCATCCCTTCCCCTCAGTTCCAAAAACTTTTCCGCCAGGCATAAGTATGACAAGTTAAATGAGCAGTGACGGAAGAGGGGGGGATGGGTGGGTAGTGTGAATTCACAGAGGACCACTCGAAGAACTATGCTTACAGGTAAGTAACCTTATCTTCTTCTTCGTGGTCTCTGTGACTGCACACATATGGGTGACTAGCAAGCTTCACTTGCCGGCAGGTGAGACGTCACGGCAGGAAGGATGCCAACACAGCTTTGCCGAAGGAAGCATCATGTTTCGCTCTGACATTGAGCCGGTAGTGCCGTATGAAGTTCGACAGTGTGGACCAGGTGGCAGCACGGCAGATGTCCAGAATCTTGGTGCCGCAGTGGAAGGCAACCGATGTGGAAAGGGCTCTAGTGGAATGAGCTGTCAAATGGTCAGGAGGTGATTTTCCTGAAAGTCTATAGGTGAGAGAAATTGTGGAAACTATCCATCTGGAGATGGATTGGGGAGATGCAGGGGTCCCTATACGAGGACCATAGAAACAGATAAAAAGTCCCTTGGACTGTCTGTGTGACTCAGTCCTGTGGATATAGAAAGACAATTACTCTCGTGATGTCCAAAGTGTGGAGCATATGCTCTAATGGAGTCGATGGGGAATTGAAGAAATAAGGTAGTATAACAGGTTGGTTCATATGAAAATTGGAAACTACCTTGGGCAGGAAGGAGACATCAAAGTACATGGTCAACTTGTCAGGGTAAAATTGGGTAAAAGGTGGGTCACAACGGAAGGCAGCAAGTTTGCAGGCTTGCTTAGCGGAGGTGATAGCCACCAAAAATGCCGTTTTGTAGGTTAGCAATTGAAGACTGTAGGAAGACATGGGCTCAAAGGGAGGACGTGTCAGGGCGTTAAGTACAACCTGCAGGGACCACTGAGGGAGGATACGTTGAGGTGGTGGTCGAGTGCTGCAGAGCCCTTTAAGGAATCTCTTGAGTGTCAGATGCGAGAAGAGTTTTGTGGATGGAGAGTTGTCCGGTTGGTGGGCAACAATGGCGGAAATGTATACCTTTAAGGTGGACAGAGCGAGGTGAAGAAGAAAGGTAAGTAAAGTTGCAAGTGAAACTGGTATAGCAGGTAAGTTGTGCTCAGCATAATATTTAAGGAAAGCTTTCCATTTGCTCTTGTACAGGGAAATAGTAGAAGGTTTACGGGCTCAATGAAGAACCATCATGATTTCGGAGATATTTTCCATGCTACGAGATTGAGGGAGGCCAGGTCCAGGTGATGGATCATGCCCTGTTTGAGAGTGAGAAGGTCTGAGATCAGTGGGAGATGAATCCAGTCTGTGGACATGGAGACCAGGTGAGTAAACCAGGGTTGCCAAGGCCATTCCGGGGCTATGAGAATGGCATGGGCGTTGAACTGCCTGAGCCGAATAATTGAGCGCTGGATGAGCAGAATTGCTGGGAAAAGGTAAAGAAAGTTCTTGGACCAATCCACCATGAAAGCATCGCCAATTGAACATCTGTCCGCTCCAGCTCTGGAGCAGAAGATCTGGCATTTCCGATTGCAGCTGGTTGCAAAGAGGTTGATTGAGGGGGAGCCCCACCCCACCGACAGTTGGTGGAATATGGAGTCCTTCAGGGACCACTCGTGTGTCGTCAAAGGAGACGACTGAGGCGATCGGCAATGTAGTTGTCCTCTGTGGTAATATGTACAGTTATGGGGTAGATGTGTTTGCGGTAGCACCATTCCCAAAGGTTGACAGCCAGATAAAGTAGGGAGCGGGAGTGTGTTCCTCCCTGCTTGTTCACGTAGAAGAGCGCTGTTGTATTGTCTGTGGCTAGCTGGACCACTTGTCCCTTGATGAGTGGGAGAAAGGCATTGAAGGCTCTGATAACAGCTAGAAGTTCCAAGTGGTTTATGAGGAGAGTCTGTTCCTGTTTTGACCACAGCCGTTGGATCTTGTGCGAAAGGCAGTGGGCACCCCAACTGGATGGGCTTGCATCGGTGGTGACCTGAATAGTGGGTTGGAGGGGCAGAAAGGGTCTGCCGGTCAGCAGGTGTGGAAGGTTAGTCCACCATGCAAGCTGAGTGACTAGGTCGTGTGGGACTAGTAGTCTCTTGGTTGGAAGGTCTGACATGGGGTCAAACAGTGTGCGGAACCGAGATTGAAGCGGTCTCATTTTGAGTCTGGCGTGGAGAATCAACGATGTGGTGGACGCCATGATGCCGAGAAGGTGCTGCACTCAATGAGCAGGGATGGTTTGATGGGTTTGGAAGAATGATATTGAGTCCTTTATCTTTAGGAACGTTTCGTGAGGAAGAAAAGCCCTTGCCTGCAAGGAGTTGATGTGGGCGCTGATAAAGAGGGCCGTCTGTTTGGGCTGAAGATGTGACTTTTGCATGTTTACAGTCAGTCCGAGTCTTTGCAAGGTGAGGAGAGTGAAGTCTAGAGCGGCCATGGTGTTGTGGTATGATGGTGTGACGATTAGCCAATCGTCGATGTGGGAATAAATAGTGATGCCATGAAGGCATAGGTAAGTGGCGATGGGTGCCATACATTTTGTGAAAGTCATTGGGGCTGTAGAGAGCCCAAATGACAGAGAGCAATATTGGAATATTCCAGCATCGTTGGAATGAAAACGGAGATATTTTTGATGTGAAGGATGTATGGAGACGTGGAAATAGGCGTCTTGTAGATCGATGATGCAAAAGTAAAGGAAGAATTGGGTCCAGTGTAAGCATACGAAACATATGAGGTTGAATGAAAGTATTTAGGAGCCTTAAGTCCATAATGGGATGGAGTCCCTTGTCCTTTTTAGGTACAGTAAAGTATTTGGAATAAAATCCATTATGCCTATCATCCGATGGTACGGAAACAATGACTCGCTTAGACAGCAGGGTGGCAACCTCATCCTGGAGGATAGGGAGAAAAGGTGTAGGGCAAATAAATCCCAACGGGAGCGGGAATTGAAACGCAATCCTGTAGCCTTGAGAAATGATGGTTAGGACCCAATGGTCAGTGTTAACACTCTGCCAAAAGGGCAGGTATGGTGCCAACCTGGTTTGAAATGAAGTGGGGGCATTCCCTTGGGAAGGGAAGCATGCTAGAGTTAGTATGGCTTACCCTTCCTTTGGTTCTTGGGAAGGTGTTGACGTCGTAGAGTTGAACTGTGGGGACAAAAGGAAGGCAGGAGTGGCTGCAGGGTCGAAGAAGACCTGTCTGGCTGATGAGGTCAAAATTGCCTCTATGGCTGATATCGCTGGTACTGGTATGGAGAGTACGGCTGGGAATAGAGTTGATTGAAGCGGTAGTTAGACCTTGAGTAAGTGGAGAACTGTTGCGAAGAGTAAGACTTTGCAGTTTTACGCGTTTTGTGAAAGTTCTCCATGGCTTCATCAGTTTTACTATTGAATAGTACAGTACCGTCAAAGGGTAAGTCCTCGACACGGGACTTGGTATTGTCAGATATAGTCGACGAGCGAAGCCATGCATGACAACGAATGGAAATGGATGTAACTAGAGTCTTGGATGCAGCTTCTGCTGCATGGCATGCTGCAAGCCGTTGATGTCTGGCCAAAGTGATAACTTCAGCATGAATGTCAATAAGGTCAGACTTCACTGACTCAGGAGCAGTCTCCAGAAGAGGGAGGACCTTGTTCCAAAAGTAGCGCTGATATGCTCCCATAGTGGCCTGATAGTCAATGTTCTGTAAGAGGAAAGACTGTAGGGAGTAAACTCACCTGCCGAGGTTATCAAGTTTCCTGCCTTCTTTGTTCATGGGAGTGGCCTTAGATAGAGCTACGGGACTGACTAGATTCCACTATAATGGAATTTGGTGGAGGATGTTTATTGAGGAAGTCGATGTCATCACCATGGGAGTTGTACAGGTTCTCAGTTCTACGAGATACCTGCATCATTGAAGGGGGTTTATCTCAAGTCTCTTTGATGAGTTGTAAGACTGATTTATTGAAGGAGAGACTGACTGGCGATGTCGTGTCACAAAGGATATCATCGAAGACAGGGTCTAGCTCGGGAGGGTAAGGTTCCTCCACTTGAAGGTGAAGGGCATGAGCCATGCATGAAATAAAGTGAGTGTAGGAGGAAAGGTCCTCCAATGGGGAGGAAGGCTGAGCCTCTTTAGTCCGGTCTGGAGGGGTAGGGACATCAGGAGAGGAACAATGTGAAGAGACAGACTAGTTGTCATCGAAGGATGGTTGTGAATAAGGCGATGTGTCATGACATCGGGGTTCATAAGGAGACTGATCCTGTATATGAGGTTGCTCCATGCCATCAGGGGCAGCATAGGATTCCCATGACAATGGGAGTCTGGGCTGGGACGATGTCGAAGCCAGTTGCTGTGTCTTGGCAGATCCTCTCTCAGGAAGAGGGGACTTGGCAGTTTCAGGAGGGAAACGAGCCCGTTTCTGTTGGTCGGTATGATATCGCTCAAAGTGAGCCTGCCAGACAGCGGGGTCGAAAAGCTGGTATGGCATCATATGAAATGGGAAGAAATCTCCAAACGGTGTAGAGGGTCTCTGTGGGGATATATGCTTTCATTTCTCCGTTCATTTCCTGGGGGAGCGGACAGAAGATTCGGGATCAGAGACCTGAGTTTCAACTGCCCTCCCTGTTGCGAAGTTGGAACGGGCTGAGGTCGGGCTGGAAGGAATCACAGCCGCTGGTTGGCCGAAACTTGTCGTGAAACTCAATGTCATAGCTGAAATCACCGTCTGCTGGACATCCTCCTGGTTGGAAGCAAAGTCCTGGTCATCCCTTGAAGATTCCTCGAAAGGTGGGGGAGGGAGGAAAGGCTGGGGTGGCTTGGGACGAGTAACTTTGTCTGGTTTGGAAGTTCTGGTGGTGGGCTTCTTCTTAGATGAAGGAATGAGAGGTTTGGAGGACTTAGTGGAAGCCTTTGACTTTTGGGTTTTCTTTTTCTGCTTCAGATCCGCAGGGGGAGCGGGGTCCGTGGCTTCAGAGGAGGGCTGGGCAGCTGGGAGCCAATCGGACGAAGAAGCAGGGGATCTCCCTGGGTCCCGAGGGGGGGGGATGGAGGATTCATTGTGATTTGCCAAAGGTGAGACCGAAGTCTCTGAAGATGCTAGAGTGGTCTTATAGGCCAGATGGGCGGGGTATAAATCAAATAAATAAATAAAACAAATAAATAAAGATGTTGCTTCAATGCTGGACGAGTGAGATTTTTGCAAGCAGTGCAGGAATGAGTGGGGTGAGATTCACCCAAGCAGAATAGACACTGATCATGAGCGTCAGAAAGAGAAATTTTGTTAGGGCAAGAAGTGCAGCGTTTGAAAGGAAATTGATAGGCCATAGGAGAGAAGGGGGGGGACAGAATCAGGAGAAAGAAAAACAGAAGAAAAATAGCTCCCGTTCAGCAGAAAAACAGTAGAAAGAAGGATAGTCCTTAAAAGGACTTTTGGATTAGTTAGCTCAAGGCTAGAGAGTTAGCTAGAGGCTAAAAGCCAGTAGAAAGAGTTTAGAAGTGCTCCAATCTTCCTAAGGGAACTGAACAGCTCTGCGGAAAAGAGGAACTGAGAGGAAGGGATGGTGGGCGGAGCATATGCCTCGTGGGGGAATCACATCACTAAATTGTTACTTTCAGCTCTAGAATCTTCGGAGAACGTCAGTGCAGGCGCAGATGAAACCCATATATGTGCATTCACAGAGGCCACGAAGAAGAAATAAGACCTTCACTTCTGTCCCCACAGGACCACATTATCTACCTGCAAATGGTTTGCTTGTTTTTTATTCAATACCTCTGAGGTGGGCACTTTGGTGGGTCTGGAAAACCTGTTTTTTCTCCCACAAATCACACAGGGGCCATAAAGCCTGCCAGAAAGGTGGGGGCTAGAAGTCTATTTCTGGTCCATTATGGTTTATTTCTTTATAGATTTTGGAACTCTCCTTGAAGTTCCCACCTGTATCCCATTCAAATCCCTGGAAGTGTCTCTTAAAACTACATTTGAGGTGTTTAATCTTCATTTAATTTCATCTTTGCTCCAGTCCTGAAAATTAAGTTTTGAGTTGTAATATTATTGTACATTATGTTTTATATTAACATGCCAATGTTTTATATCAATGAGCCAACTGATCACATATCAAATATAAATTTCTTCTTAAGTAATCTGGTTTCTGCTTTTGAAAATGTGGTTATTTTGTTGCTTGGGCACCCCTGCAAACTATGTAAAAGAAAAAACACTGCTCCTAGAGACTGTAAGTACAGTGGGCCCGTTCTGGAAGGACGTTCGTACCTCAGAAAGTTCCTAAGTCGAAGTACCATTTCCCATTGAAATGCATGGGAACGGAATTAACCTGTTCCAGCATTTCAAAAAAATACCAAAATAAAAATAAAAAGAGCAAGTCCCACGTTGGGATTGAAAAAACCCCCCACAAAAACACAAAATCCACAGAAACATAACCCCCCGGTCCAAACCCAACCTCCAAAACCTACACAGAAAAGTTTTTTTTTTAAAAAAAAAGGACTTAAAAAAGGAACACCAGTCCAAAGCCTGCCAGTGTTCCGCTGCCTCTGCGCGGCTGGGGGCGAGCGGCCAAGCGCCCAGCCAGCTCTAGCCTCCCGGTGCTGGGTTAGCTTCGGTGGCTCCGAAGTCAAAAAGACAGGGAGAAAGGGTGGGAAATTCGAATTCCCTGCCCTTCCTCCCTTCTTCCCTGCCTTTGGAGGTTTCAAAGGGCTTCCTCCGATGTCAGAGGAAGCCTTTTGAAAGTTCCAAAGGCAGGCAGGAAGGGCAGGAAATTCGAACTTCCCACCCTTTCTCCCTGCCTTTTTGGCTTCTGAGGTTTCAAAAAGCTTCCTCCGATGTCGGAAGAAGCCTTTTGAAAGCTCCAAAGGCAGGGAGGAAGGACAGGAAATTCAAATTTCCCGCCCTTTCTCCCCACCTTTTGGGTTCGTAACCCGATCCGCGTTCGGAAGTAGGGTGTACTACTTGCGATGAGATCGGGTTTGTAACCCGAAATGTTCAAAACTAGGGCCGTTCGTAAGTCGAGGGCCCACTGTACTAACAGTTCACCTTTTTTACTGCCTAGGGGGAAAATTAATGATGGGGTGAATAAGCCTACAAGGATTAGGGGAGCAAAACAACTTTGGAGCTGTTTGCCCATCCTTGCCCTATGAACATGCATGATGGATTCAGCTCACGTCAGTCAATATTGTCTAAAAGACATACTAATAAATATCTGATTGTTATAGTACTCACAACAAGCTGTTCTTCTTTCTCGCCTGTCTCCTTTATTATTATTTCGATTTCCTGATTCAGCCCTTCAATGCTGTTACGGAAACGCGATCCTGTAGATTTAGCAATTGGTATCACAGGGACTAGCACACTCTTTGGGACTGGAGCCTGAAATCATTTTAAAAAGGTAAGAAATAATTGTTATATCATTATATAAAAGAAAAATCAGTGCTCCAATATTTCCAAATTCACATTATATCTATTGAGATAGATGCTACAACTCATTTCATTTTATGCAGAAGACTTTTTACTTATGCCCTTTGAATACTTCTTAATTCAGAAAGATTATCGGCTTCTCTCAGTTCAGTCCTTCATAGACCTGAAAGATATCGTTAAGCAAGACACTCATCTCAGTAAGAGATCAGACTAACTACAAAATCTATACTCAACCATTTCCTCTGTTTTTACAATAGAAAAAGATGGGACAGCAAACAGAAGATAGTTAATTAATATAAGCAACTCAAAAAAGTCCTAAATAGAACAGACACTATTTTCATTGTGAACTGTTATAGCTTCAGTTTTCAGAAGAGGGTTTGTTTTCTCCTCCTCCTCTTTTAGCAAGATAGCACCTCTAAGTAGAATACGTTGCTCGTGATGGATACTAAGATGCACAATGTCATATTAAAACTGTGAGTGTTCATTTACTATGCAATCCAGAGATATATGAGATTTTGGCATGTCATACAGGCTGGGTACTAGTCTGCTTTGCAAAAAGAAATCTCAATCTATGTCCTAAATTTTCAAATGTATAGTCAAGTGTACAACTCCATCCATACAGTGTCTCTTGACAGGCCAAAGTCAAGCAAAGAAATCGAGGAACCATGGTTCATAATATGCACAAAATACTGCTATTGCTCCTCAAAACTTAAGTCTTTTTCAATGCTGATCTTCAACACAGAATATCTGAAACAATTTTTTCCAGTAGCAGAGTTCTGTTCCATTAACATAGTTGTCATTTTTACAACTACAGTGGTGCCCCGCTTGACGATTACCCCGTTAGATGACGAAATCGCTTGATGATTAGTATTTTGTGATCACTATAGCGACGCAAAACAATGTTTGTATGGGGTTTTTTCGCTTCACGACAATCGGTTCCCTGCTTCGGGAACCAATTTTTCGCTTAACTACTATTTAAAAACAGCTGATCGGCGGCTCTCAAAATGGCTCCCCGCTGTTTTGCTGACTTCATTTTGCAAGACAGGGAGCAGAAAATGGCTGCCCTATGGAGGATCTTTGCTGCGCAATCAGGTATTTCCCCCATTGGAATGCATTGACCGGTTTTCAATGCATTTCAATGGGTTTTTTTTCATTGACGACGATTTCGCTTAACAGCGATTTTGCTGGAACGCATTATCGTCGTCAAGCGGAGGCACTACTGTATGTTTTTGGTTGTGGAATTCCATTTGGTGGAGTTCAATTTGACTTCCTAGTGACTGAGACACAACCAATTTTCTCAAATAGAAAAATTACAAATCTTACATTCAGCATCACAATCTCACCTGGCATTGGTTAATGGCTGCATGATTACCATGGAATGGAGACTGTCTTTCTTTATCCCGATGATGTCTACTACTGTGTTTACTTCTTTGCAGTTGCTGACGTAGCTTGGCAATCTGGAAAAGAGAATAAGTTTAGATTTATCTGTAAAATTAATAATGAAAACTATGGATAATTATGTCAAAAGCTGTATTAACTATTACAAGTATTTATACAGTATATGTTGTTGTTAGGTGCTGTCAAGTCTTCTCTGACTTATGGCAACCCGATGAATGAAGAGATCTCCAAAACATCCTGACCCCAACAGCCCTGCCCAGCTCTTGTAAACTCAAGCCTCTGTTCCCTTAGGGAGACAACTGATCTCATGTTTGGTCTTTCTCTTTTCCTGCTGTCTTCGAAGTTTTGCAGCATTGTTGTCTTTTCCAGAGAATCTTGCCTTCTCATGAAGTGCCCGAAGTAGGCCAGTCTCAGTTACAAGAATTTTGCTTCCAGAGACAGTTTAGGCGTGATTTGATCTGGGACCAACTTGTCCGTCTTTCTGGTGGTTCAGGATATCTGCAAAGTTCTCCTCCAGCATCTCATTTAAAATGAATCATTTTTGTCCTGTCAGATTTCTTTATGGTCTAGTTTTCACACCCATATATGGTGATTGGGAATACAAGAGTGTGAATGATTTTGGTCTCCTTACACTTGATGATCTGTTCTAATTTCTTCATTGTTTCCCTTCTAAGGCTCAGTCTTCTTCTGATTTCTTGGCTGCACTCTCCATTGGGATGGATGATTGAGCCAAGGTATACAAAATCTTTCACAATTTCAATTCATTCATTGAACAGACCACTGCAAAAGCTATGTTTAGAAGAAATGCACAAGATAAAAAGAGTATTTTCCCTCCTCACTATAGCGATGTCTCCAATCTACCTTTGACAAACATGAAAGGAAATGAGTGGGAAAGTTCTATATCTAACAAAACAGACCTACTGTCATAATGAAAGCAGGCTGGGAACATAGTGGGAAGTCCCATGCAGTATCTGAATGGGAATTATCACTCTACTCTTGTTGTAGATATTAATAAACCTGTCAGCGCCACCACTTCATCCCTGCTGTGAACATCAAGCAGGTGCATACGGAATTCTACAGTGGCTTGGAAATGGTACGGGGCATCTAGAAAGACAAGTTCTGGTTATGATTGTGCTGTATCCCCACACTTATGGTAGGATCTAGTCTCTAAGAGTAACTATTTAGCTTCTCACTAGATAATCAAACCAGACACTTCAGTATCTGTATAATGTAAGCTTGTATTAACTGAACAACAGAAATGATATAAGATTGCTGTAACTGAACAACCAAAGTATCTTGTATAGCCAGATAATGGATTCAGAAGTGGCATTTTTAAAAGGAGCACTTAAATACTGATTTCTGTAATGGAACCTGTCCTAGGTTTTAGCCCAGCTAAGCCCTGGAAGCCCACGACCACAGCAGCTGCCACCCCTGCTTGGACTAGCAAGTAGGGGACTCCCTACTTAACTTCATAGCTGGCCAAGACCGGATTTAGGACTGCACTCTCCCCATCACACTCCCAATAAGCACACCAAGTGTGCAGAAGATTATTTGAGTAAAATAATTGATAAAAGCCAGATTAAAAGAAAACACCTTTTTAGAGCTTTAAGCCAATTATAAATTAACACAGAACATGTCTGATAAAGAATCACAACACAAGAAAAATAATAAAACTAGGTTGTCTATTTATTTACACCATGAGACCTCACCACAGACACAGACAGACCCCTGAGCTAATTTAGAGTTCAAATCTCACCAACGGAGCAGACTAACATCAACAGACATGAGGCCCATTTTGGTCTTAGGCTGCTCAGCTCTTGCACTTTTGCCTTCTGCAACACTGATGACTCAATTATGAATCACAATTCAGTTTTCCATAAACCGAAGATTCAACATCCCCCTTTAGGAAAAAGGCATCTGAAATTAATTGGCAACTAAGCACATTTTACCAGGCTGACCAAGCTGACTTGAGCTCCACTCCACTCTCTGATAAGGCAGACATCCTCTCATGTGAACTGATTCATCCCTCCATCCTAGCTGGTACCAATGCCCCTCTTGTATCAATTTCAGATTAAAAACAGCATGCACCCATCACCAGGAACAGAGGGGAGGATGTAACACTTTTCTCATTATTCAGATAACTGGCAATAAGAGACAATATATCTGTAAGAGTACCTTTTATACAAACCAATGGATACACTGGTTTGGGGCACACAGTTTACTATTTGTTTAGACACAGTCTTTGCTCTTGCTTGTGGGAGCATCCTTTGAGCAAGGCTCCTCTTGCTGCCATAGGAGAGCACTTTGCTGATTTCCTCTTTCCCCTGCACCTTCTGAAAACCTGCTTCAGAAGATTGGGAGTCTTTTTATAACAATGTGGGTAGTGATTCTAAGGACTGCAGGGGGAATTGGTAAAAACTGCATCCTTTCTAGGAAGCAAATGCCTCTGCTATGTCAAAATCCTTCCATGGATGGAGAGATACTCAAGTTTGCATTCCACAAATGTAGAAAGACAGCTATTATTTTGGGACATTCAAAACCACTGTTCCTGTGCAGATACTGTGCTGAATAGGTTATATTGACAAACATAAATTTCTCAACCTCTTTGAGCTGATCTGTGCTGCCCCAAGATGCTGAACGCTTATGAGATCCTTTTTTCTTTTCCAAGTATTCTTCAGCCCAAGCACTCTCAGTCTAAAAAAATAAATAAGATGAGATATGATTTTTTTAAAGAATCCTAAGGCAACTACAAGGAGGTTGAATAAAAATAAAACATGTCTTACCTTTAGAAAAATTAGAAATATATATTATCTCAATATAGATATATATCTCATACATTATTTAAATATGCCCTTGCTTGAAATGTAACACAAAAAAATTATATATATTCATAATGTTGTAACAGTGAGTCTATGATAGAAACTTTAAGTTAAAAACTTTTTGTTCTTATACAAAATAAACAGGAACAGAATTCTTCATCAACACAGAAAGTTGTATCTATTTCAGCCTAAAGGATACAGTTTATAGTAAGAAAATCAAACAAATAACATGGACATTGGTTTTCCATCTTCACTGAGAAATACAATTCTAACCACACCAACTTTTGGTTCTAAAATGTTTTGGGCATTTAATTATGCAGTGATTGCGTTTGCTTAACTCTCTTGCATGTACAGTGATTGCTATACAGAAAACTTTTCAGTCATGACTGTTCTCCAGGAAGATGCACATTAGGAGTGGAAGACTGGTACCCCCTATGAAGGCTTCTTCCCATCTGGTGTGAAAGAGTGCATGGATTTTATTGTCCAATTCTTGAGGATGGGAAAGACCATTTGACCATGTTTTCTGGACTAGTAGTGGTGATTCTAGCCACTTTGGGTCCCTTGTTGGGAGAAATGTGGCATCATCATCAAATCAGTCTGGGTGTATGTGAGACAGGCTTATGAAGGAGTTGCTGCACAAAGACCATAAAAACTTATAGAATTTAAGCTACTTCCTAGGATATATTTGAAGACCTTTTTTCTGACTGACTAGCTCAAGATGGTATCTGACAAATGGTGACTATCAAAAGGTAGCTGTGAGCTTGAGATAGATTTCTAGTGGCCTTTGCAGATGCAATATGTGTCCTGCCTTCTCCAGTGAATGAGAGTATATTTTAGATATAAAGAAGTTAATACTCCTGACTTGTGATCTGAGAAAAAGTGAATTCACCTTTGGACACTTACTGCAAGTTTCAACTGTTAATGGAACTACTGCCTTTATTTTATTTACATTTACTCTCAACAATTCTACCACAATATTTATGTTCTTAAAATGTACAGTGGCGCCCGGCTTAACGATTACCTCGTTAAACGACAATCCGCTTGACAATGAGGTTTTTGCAATCGCTTTTGCAATCACAAAACGATGTTTTAATGGGAAAAATTCGCTTTACAATGATCGGTTCCCTGCTTCGGGAACCGATTTTTCGCTTTACAGTGATCAGAAAACAGCTGATCGTCGGGTTTCAAAATGGCTCCCTGCTGTTTTCAGGACTTAATTTTCGCTGTACAGGCACCAGAAAATGGCTGCCCTATGGAGGATCTTCGCTGGACTATTAGGTATTTAGCCCATTGGAACACATTAACGGGTTTTTAATGCGTTTCAATGGGGTTTTTTTCCTGCCTGATGACAATTTTGCTCTACAGCGATTTCACTGGAACGGATTAATGTCGTCAAGCAAGGCACCACTGTACTACAAATGAAAAATACAGTAAGAGAATGCCTATAAATATATAAACGTTCTTTTCAGGAAGAGTGAGATTTCTCTTTTTATTACAAAACCAAAGAGAAGAGCCTTCTGTTGCAAGTGGCTGCCTTGGTAGACAAACCTCAGGTATTGTCTATGAACTAGGATTATCAGGAGTTGGAGATACATATACCTCCAACAAGTCTCCAGGATTCCCAATCCTTGTAGACAGGTGGGTCAATTCAAATCAAGGGCGGGAACTAGTAGTGTCCTCTAGGGGCCCCTTGATAAAATGATAGTCCTTCTTTCCCATAAGAACTATTCTGACCAGCAAGCAAAGGAACAAAGCCTCATAATCTGACATTTGAGAAGATGTTTGTTCAACTATATGGATGCAGGATTTCCAGGAAATAAGAGCACAGCCTGCTGATTGCTCTGAAGAATGAGAATTAGTTAGCACAAAGAATCCTGGTTCTGGTTTTCTTTACATGTTTTCTTTCTTAATTCCTAAGGGGAAAAGGATTCAGAAGAGTTGTTTTTGAGGGTGCTTTAATGGGTTACTTTTCTTTCCTTCCTCTTTCACAGCAGCTTGGTTAGTTCTGTTACTAGTGACTGCTTGATCATGAGAAACTACTGTAGATTGTAAGATTTGGGAAAGTCTGAATTCACTTCAACTAGGTGAGAAAAATTAAGGCGTTCATAAATAAATTACTCCATCTGGTGGTCACCCATCATCTTTGCAGCCAAAGAAAATGGCATCTGACTTGGAAACAAAGAAAAAATGGATCTAGAGAGGGAAGAGCTGAAGTGAGGGATAACCTGTCTGATCAACACTGGAAAAGGAACTTGGACTCAGCCTACTTCCCTGCTCCTTATGCGTGACTGCTACTGGCTGGAGAAATTGTTTCTCTATAGAAGGAGTCGGTCCAGTCCTGAATAATAGGAATTTCCAAAACAGATTGACAAGCAAGGTGCAGTGTAGTCTGTATATTATTATTATTTCATTTCATTTCATTCATTTATATACTGCTCCATTAGTGCAATGCACTATTCTGGGTCGTTAACAACCTAAAGAAGCAAACAGTAACAAACACACAATAACTCAAAACAATTTAAAAAACAAGATAAACATCAAATATATTAGTAATATTTAATAGGAGTAAGATTTTTGTAATTGTAGGATGTACATGCCATGTTCTCTACTGTGTGGTAACTGCCTTTCTAGCAGATGGATCACTAAGCTGGCCTAGTTCTTTACCTAAAGCAGGGCTGGGGATGCTGACCCCTTCGTTCTCCTCTTAAAAAAAGATGTTCCAATCTTACACTAGTTCTGACAAAAGGTGGATACCCTACAGCAGTGCTTCCCTTTGATGCCCAGATATTCTTGGACTACAATACCCAGAAATCATGGCGAGCACAGCTGTGAAGACTTCTGGGAGCTTTAGTATAAGAACATCTGTGGACCCAAGGTTGGGAACGATTGCCCTACAAGATTCTAATATGGCTCAATCTGTGCTTTTATTCTGAGGGTTAAGATATGTATCTCTCATCCCCCACCCCACCTCTGATATCCTTATTAGAAACAGAGCAATGCAGAGAAAGCAGAGAACAGGAAAAGGTGGGACTGAGGGGGAAAAACCTAAGGGCAAATATGAATTGTAAAGGAGAAAAAGCTCCTGAGCAAGAGAGCAAAAAGACTGTTCAGGGATGTAACTTTCTTCCCACCAGCTAGGATGACTGTTGCACATAAGAAAGGAGTAAAAGACAGCAGTGAAAAACATGTAGACAAGTGTAACAAAAATGATTAGATCAGGAGCATTTTCTCCAGGAGGAAAAATTACAATCAGACACTCCAGCACAGGAAAAGAAAGTCATATGGGAAGGTTTTCCCCTCTTTTCCTTATAATATCACATCATTCAAAGAAGCTCAATTGTGCAAAATTCAAAACAAAGAAATCTAAGAACTTCACACAACACAGTTAGATGGAATTGCTGCTACAAAATATAGTGATGGCAACAAAATCTGTATAGTTTAAATGGTGATCAGAAAGGCAGAGGTGTCTATTCACAGCTGCTAAACACAACTCTATTCAATGATAAAAAAATTGTCTGGTTTAAGACCAAGGTTTAGGTCTCTCTAGAACTGGCTTAAGCTTCACAAAGACAAGAAGCTGCTTTTACTCAAATTTGTCAGATGCTCTCCAAGTACATAATAGGATTTCTTACCTGTGTGGCTTTGTCCCTCATGCAAGGTGCAGCTTGTCCATGATTATCACGAGGCCACTGGCCAGCAAGGTATGGTGCAGCAAGTATATCTAGCGAAGGCGTACGACGAGCAATACTGGAAGGGCTTGATGATGGGGGCCGTGGTTTATCAACTAAAACATATATATACACACATACATCTCTATTAGTGAAAACATTCCTAAACTCAAATTTTCATTCTACCAATTACTTTAAATTAAGCAGATTACATACAGTGTCCTCAAACACAATTTGTTTTCCAGATTCATATTGATTAAACTCTTCTGTATGTTTAAATGTTAGGCTGTTTGGAGCACCAATGACTTTACATAGCGCTTGACTGTCCAAGAGTAGATATTTAAAATTTAAGTACTGGCTACAGATGTGCCAACAAAGTCCACAAAAGCTCTCTACTGTGGACAATAGGAGCAAATCCTTAGATCCACTTCTGTCACCAATGTGTGGCATTTTTAGAAGCTACCAGCACTGTGACAGAGCTCTCTGGTGGTGTCCGACTTTAATTTCCCATCTCCACTCCTGCCCTAGTAAGCAGCATCCATTAGGTGAACAATGCTGCCCATTCAATTTCCTCAGTAGCATCTCACAAGGATGACACTGAAAATCAAAACTGTGGCCCATAGTCTTTCACTGCCACCAATGGTCCTTGGCAAGGTTACCTGGCAAGAGGGGCTGACCAGTATAAGGTAACCCTTCCAAGTACCATCAAAGGTCTACTCAAACTAATGCCAGTCCTTTTCTGGATTCATTTTTATTTTCCTGCATGTACCTAACATTTGTAACTTCATTTAAGTCCGAAGCCAGATTTGTGAGAATCTAACTCTGCAGTCCAGTAATGGATTATAAAAATTGCTTATTGGTACTTAACCTTTCACTTTCCTTTCACAGTTATATTCACATGACAGGTATTTATATATTGTAACCATGAATCTGAACTGGGCAAAGAAACAGACTGACAGCCAGTGAAGCTATTGTAATAATTTAGCTTCTATTCAGATGAGTGTGTAGTCTGGACTGATGTGGGTGCAGCCATGGTCTTCCCATCATACATCAGAACCATTCATTCCAAGCTTCTATACCTGTTTTAAGTTTTCTTAGAATGTAATCTGGTTTCTTCAGTTTTCCATACAACATGTCCTCACTCTTCTGCCTCTCTCTCCCTCTCATGGACTCCCCATTCATTCTCCACCCTTTCTCCACTCCTTGTCTATTGAGGTTGACTCATCCAGCAGTGAAACCTTCCAGTTTTTAGGAAGAAGGGTATATGTGTTTCTTCCTAACATGGAGAACAATCTGCAGGGTCTGAAGGAAAGCTTAGAACTGCTAGTCTGTTTTTTGAGGACAAGGTAAACCAGCATTCTGAATCAGAAGGCCAGAAGCAGCAGTGCTGAGAACAGTTCCTTCTTTTATATTTAAAAAGTCAGCAAGAAGCAACCTTGCTCCATGCCAAGAATACTGCCACACATGATGTCACAACTGATGTCAATGGCATTCTAATTATATATGCACACCTCATAAGACTTGTGTTTGTTCAGGAGAAAAGACAGAAAGACAACAGATCTGGACAAACCCAAACTCCAATAAAAAATTCAGTTCCCAGTGAGGCAAAATAACCCTAAAATGGAAAGGATCTGAAACTACTCCATGTCTTTGTCAATGTTACTTGGATCTCCTAAACTAATCCAAATCAATGGGTGAGCAACTGAACCACCTCTTAGATAGGAACAAATAGAGTGTATGGATGAGTTCTGACAGACTACAAGCAAAAATGACCAATGTCTGCACCTCATTTTAGAAAAACCAAACAGAATAACTTAGATCCAAGATTTAATTTTTTTTTTAGCCTATTTGATTTTAAGAACACTGAGAGAACATAATCTAAATATATTATCAGGAGGAAATCAAAATTATTCTACCTCCTAAATCAGGAAAGATGCTGTTGTTAGAAATACCAGAAAAATATAAGTAACATTTTACATAATGATTTTTTCAGTGTTTGTGTTACTTTAAAAACTATAGTATGACTATATTATGAAACCCACAGTTAATTACTTCATTTTTGGAGAGGTGAATTGTTTGGTTGTAATACTTTTCGTTCCTGCAGAAGCTACCTCTCTTTTAACAATTTTCAAGGGGTGATATGAACAGAGCAAAACAGGTTCCTTAGTGTTAGTAGAAATGCTTTTTGCTCTCACAGGCATCATCAGCTGTTGCACAGATGGGGAAAAGATTACATTTACCTAGGTTTCAACTGCCAGACTACAAAAGAATTCTTGTTACAAATAAGAAGCCACAGACAAACAAAAAGGAAGGCCAGCAATTATGTAAAGCAACATTGTTTACTTAGTGCCTCATTGTTTAAAGCTTTCTTGTATTCACCAGAATTTCATTTTGTTTGTAGCAGGTTTAGACACATCTTTATTGAGAAGGTCGAGTTAATTTAAGGGAGCTTTAACATCTATGTAATTTGTTACACAGTACTTTTGAAGAAACATATTGGCTCAAATACAGTAGCAGAACTTAAGGCTGACAATGTATTTTTTAGAAATTAAAAATGTCTGACCCCAGGCATTTGACCCCTTTTTTTGTGGGGAAGCTGCTGGGGGCCACAGGATAGGCTCTTTAATTTCCAAAAATCAAAGTGGAAGTTCCACTAATGGATTTTAGCCATCTTCTTTCAATTTACCTTTCTTTTAAATTAACCTCTTAACATTTTGTCGTCTTCATTAATTTCAGAAGTCTGTCATTAGATTGCTACTGAATTATTTGATTACTATATAAAGTATGTTAGCAATGTAATTAATCTTATAAATATTTTTAAAATGTGTTTGTTCCAAAAGCTTTTTGAAATGCTAAAATATTCCAAATTACATAACTAAAGAGGTGCTATCTTGAATTTGGTTCCCTCAGAGCTCCAACTTGGGCCCCACTAATCACCTTTGAGTAACATGTGATCACAGGCATTTTGTATAGCATGCCAGAGAGAATTCAATCAGAGATATTTTTTTCTGTATGGTTATGAACTAAATAGCTGGTTGGATAGCTCAGTGGTTTATGTATCTGGCTGCGTAGACATAAGTTGAGAACTTGATTTCTCACTGTGCCTCCTGTGAGTAGAGGCAGCAAGTGTGGTCTCAGGTAAGCAGCACAGTCCCATGGTGCCCCTAGAACAGTGATGGCAAACCTATGACACACATGCTACAGCTGGCACGCAGAGCCCACCATGGTCCTCTTTAGTGGCTGTTCAGTTTCTCCAATCTAGAGCTCCAAACACTTATTTTTGCATTGGACCACATTTACTATATCGCTCCTGTTGTGTTTTGGTGTCCAGTCTGGAAATTGGTTCCTCAGACTCCCAAATGGGCTCACTACTAATTACCTTTAGTGGTGCCTGCTCATAAGTTCATGACTGGTCTAGCCCAATGGGGGATTAGAGGACCAGTAAGTATTTCTCTGTTAATACCTCCCCTAGAAAAAACACAAGCATTTAACCCTTGCAGTGCAAGGGCAGTTTTTTTTCTAAACTAAAACCTCTGTATTCAGGTTTAATTGCAGTGTTGGCGCTTTGAAACAAATAAGTTGGTTTTGTGTTGCAGTTTGGGCACTCGGGCTCAAAATGGTTCGCCATCACTGCCCTAGAAGAAGAGAATGGTAAACCACTTCTGTGTATTCTGTACCTGGAACACCCTGAAAAAGATTACCATAATTTAGAATTGACTTGACAGCACATGTTTATTTACTATAAACTAAACAGCTAGACACATATTGGTAATATTTGTTTTTCTAAAAAGGTCTTCAAAAGATCTCTGTGAAGATTCTCAGTCATCCAGGTGAGGTTGTCTTCTTTCTTATTAGGTTGAAATGTTTCGCTACTCTTCCGAGTAGCTTCTTCAGTCTGAGGACAGTTAGTAGGAGATCCCTGATATATACTCCCCATTGGCTTCGTTTCCCCCTGGCCTGAATAAGCTAGTTAGAAGGACAAAGGACTGGGGGTTAAGTAAATAATCCCATTTCTGCATCCTTCTCCACCATCATGGGTCGTTAACAGTTGTTAACAGTGGTCTTCTGATGGGTGTGGTCCTAATCTTCCTGGGAATGGATGAAAGGGCATCGTGATAAACAGGAGATAGATTGTATCTAAGGCCTCCACCCCTGTTGAGTGAGGGATTTTCTATATGCACATGTATAGCCTCCTTGACCCCTCTCTCAAACCACCTATTTTCTCGGTCCAAAATGAGTATATCCTGGTCATGAGTGTCCTTCAAATGGAGGAACAATCCTGATTGTGGTCCTGGGCCATTGCCCCTCCTGTGCTGGACCATGGTCCTCTTTAGTGGCTGTTCAGTTTCTCCAATCTAGAGCTCCAAACACTTATTTTTGCATTGGACCACATTTACTATATCGCTCCTGTTGTGTTTTGGTGTCCAGTCTGGAAATTGGTTCCTCAGACTCCCAAATGGGCTCACTACTAATTACCTTTAGTGGTGCCTGCTCATAGCCATCTAGTATACTCCGCTGAAAGTGAGCCATATGAACTTTGGCTATGAAATCTTTTCCCTCTATAAACTGCATAGTCCACTAGGCTTCTACCAACTTTCTTCTTTTTTTATTGCACAACAATATTGTAACTAGTGCTTTAAAAACTGGCTTGGTAATGACACATATTTTAAGTTAAATAAATCTTAAAAACAAAATATGGCAAAAATACTGTTCTTTTAATTGTTGCTGTGAAACTGGTGTCCCCAAGCTGCAAAACAGGGAGCCCAATTTCTGCATGAGTGTATGTTGAAATATTGGGGTAAATGAGTACCTGGGGAAAGAAAAGATAAAAATGGAAAAAAAACTGTTGGGGAAGAATACAGACAAAGCATTTGGGAGAAATGGAACTGATGATGAAGCTAGGTACATTCTTCATTTATTTAATAAGAGTAACAAATGTACAGTATATGTTAAGCATTTCACAGCATATTCAAACTAGCACATGCTGAGCCAGATTTTCAGCAAGATTATTTGTAGCATTGCTAGTCAGAAACTACTGCTGTTTACACTGATACTACAAAGCCCTGTGTAAGAACTGGCTGTAACTGTGTTCTACTTATATATGAAAACTGGATGC